AGCATTTGCTGTGTGCTATGTGCCAGGTTTTGTTGGAGGTACTGGGGTAGGGTGGATAAATGCCATGGTCTCTCCAGAAACTTTAGGTGGTGGCACATATCTCCTTTGAGGATCCACTTTCTAAATATTCCTTACCCAAATAAAAGCTGGGAAATGGTACCAAATACCATACTACTACAAATAGCCCATTCCCCAGAAAGGCTTATAACCTTGCCTATTAATGAATCACAGAGAATTCTCCAGAATAAGACATTTCTGTGTGGGGCCTGAGGGTGAGATAAAAAAAACTCAGGTAACTGTAGCCCTGCCTTGACTCAGTCAGAACTGAGGAAATAAGATGGAGAAGAAAATGCAAGGTGTGTTTCCCCTAGAGAAATGATTCCTAACTTTTCTGCCTTCACAGTTTTACTATGCAGCACAAAACTAACCCAACCTGAAATTGCCGAATAAAGGTAGTGCAAAGCCATCTGAGAAGAGAGAACTGGCAGCACAGTATATTTGACCTGGGCTTTATTAATACACAGAGCTGCTCCTTACCAGGAGTGAAATTACACTGTGATTTTGAGCTCAAGTATTTGAGCATCTTCTATGTGTCAGGCACTATACTAGTGCTGGAATGAGACACTGAGTCTTTGCCTTCTCAGAATGTATAGTCCAGCAGTGACAATAGATGTTAAACAGGTGTGAGAACTAAGAGAATAAGATAAGTCCCTGAGAAAGTGGCAGTTGAGTTGGTAGGTGAAGGACGCGTAAATGCTGACCAGGGAGAGATGGCATAGAAAACACTGCAGTCAGGAGGTGATATATGATCATAGGAGATGCTGCACTGTCAGTCATGTCTCTTCTCTTCTCTTCTCATCTTCAACTTCTTGCTCTCCACCGGGTCTTTCCCCTCTAGAATGTAAACGTGCTCAAGTCCCTACCATCCTCAAAGCAAAAGAGAACAAAGCAAAACTTCACTGACACCTCTTGCCATTCGTATCAGTCTTCTCTCTCCCTTTATACGGACGCTCTTGAAAGTGTCATCTGCATTTGGTATGTCCACTTTCTCACTTCAGTCAGGCTCACAATTGACTTTTCTCATTACTCTTCTGTAACTGCCCTAAATTGTTAAATCCAATGGAAACTTTCCCATTCTTATCTTACTTGACCTCTTCAGCTCTCACTTCTCTCTTGATTCCCTCTCTGCCTTTGGTTTCTATGATGTCACCAAACCCTGGTTCTCCTACCTCTCAGCGACTACTTTCATTCACCTTCACAGGCTACTCTTCCACACTCCCCGAAAAGTAGTGGTGCATCTCAGGGGCCCATCCTTAGGTACTGTTATTAGCTATAAACTGATGATTTCTATCTACAGTTCTGGCAAAGGTCTCATTTGGAAGTCCTGATGTCTGCTGGATAATCCACAGGCACTCCTTATTCAATTCCAGCCCAGCTTATTCAAAATTAAACCAATCTCCCCTTTGAGACCTTTCTCCTCTCTGACCTCATTCAGTGAATATCTGCACTATTCACCTATGCCAGAAACCTGATATTCATCCTTGATTCTCCCCTTCTGCTTATTCACTCTCCACATACAGCTAATCAGTCTCTAAATCCTGAAGATCGCACCTCCTAATAATGGGAGCCTGCCCTTCTCTCAGCCCTCACGGGCACTGCTTTAATTCAGTCTTCATCTTGTCTCACCTGGGTTCCTACAATCAATTTCAAATAGTTCTCCCTGCTCTGTGCCCGCTGCTCTTCCAATTCATCTTTAATATTGCTCCCAGTGGGAGCTTTCTAAAATGCTAAACTGGTGATATCACTCTTGCTTGAACTTGTTCAATGACACTCCACAACTTTCATGATAAAGTTCACCTTTTTTAGCTTTGTACACAAGACACAGTTGAGACCCATACTCTCCCTATCTTACAAGTCTTATGTCTTGCCATTGCGCCAGTTTCTATGGTCTTGTTTCCATTTTCCTAAAATATGTTTCCTCCTTTTTATAGAGGTCATACTCTGGGAAACTTCCAAAATCACTTCCTCACCCAGCCCTTCGCCCCAGCCCTGTGGCTCCCCCTCCTGCAGTAACCTGAGACTGCTTCTTTGATGACCCCCATCATGTTGCACTTCGCTTCCCCCAAAGGACTCTGAGCTCCATGGGAACAGACTCTGCATACATGTATTTGTGTCCTCAGAACCTCTAACGTCATTTACTGAACAAATTACAGTATTTTATCATATAAATGGATATATGCATAGGTATGTGTGCCGTGTTTGAAGGCAGAGGGGAAAGGAGTTTACAGTTGTCTAGCACTTACAATATGCCATAGACTGTGCTAGATACTTTATATGCACTTGTATTACGATCCTTACTTTACGAGAAAGCTGAGGCTCACAGAGGTTCAGTAATTAGGGTCTGATTTCCTAGCCAGTAAATAGGTGGTAGAGCTGCTATTTAAGCCCAGGCTTGTCTGACTGCAAACCCTGGTTTTCTCATCATCCCACACTGCCTCCTCAACTGCCAGGAAGGAGCAGCCAGGTAGAGGAAGAGAGGTGTTGTATCTCTTACCTGTACTTCTAATGAAAACCCTCAGTGGGTCATGGCACAGGCTTGCAAGCTTCTTCAATTGTGAAATATACCTAGACCATTCAACTTTTAATGTTTTCTTTCCAAAGGTCATCTTTTTAAAACCTGACACCAGTTTTGTAAAGATTCCACCAAGCTTAACAGTAGAGGTATGATGTGAAGGATCCTATTTGTCTCAGAGGAGGTATCCTTTCTGGTCACACAGTATATACTTTTTACAGCTATTATCTATTTATTCTATTGCAAAAACTGCTGACTCTATAGAGCGCTGGGTTTCCAGTAGGAAAAGGTGTATGGAATGTGTCAGGGGTGTGGGACTTCCTATAATTGTTGGAATGGAAGAAAAGCAGATAGGAAGAAAGATACAGCCTAGACACTTGGGAGAAAAATTCTGCTGAAGAGTGCACAGGGAACAAAGACAGTGGAGCCCCAGGGAAAAAAATCAGATAACGCTGACTTCCACCCTAGAAGCCTGGCTGGGCTGGGAGGGGACTATGCCTGACCTTGGAGAGGTTGCCATCCATTCTCAGCAGCTCAGCAGTGCTCTTTCCCTCCTCAGGAGCATCACCAAAGCTTGCCTGTGGTTTAGGAATGTTATCTTTATGGATCCTTTTACCCTTCTGGTGTGGGCACCAAGCCACACCTCTGGCTCTCCACTGCACCTTTCCCACCATCAGTTTAGCTTATAGCTCACCTATCACCTTCTCTTTAAACCCCACCAGAGAGAAGAGGCTCAGAGAATGAGCTGGCTACAGCATCTGCCAGCTCACTGATCACCAGGGAAGATTTACGGGTCTGGCTGGAGAAATTTCTGCTTTCGTGAACAAAAGCTTAATGAATCCCTATCATATGCTTGGCACTGTACCGGCTGGAAGGATGCCCTCTTCGTTGTCATAACCTGTGGTTCCACAGCCTCCTGAAGATGTGCACTCAGCTGAATAGGACAACCTGGCACAGAGAGAAGGGTCACCCTTTGGCCAAGCTCTTCAGGTAGCTGTTTGCTGGAGCCTGTAAACAAGTTCCATAAGGCACATGTCCTCCTTTGACACCGCTGAAGGTGCAATCAGGAGAGGCACACCAAATAGCTCTTATTATCACAGTTCTGATAGTGTGTTGAGCACACAGAGAGATAAAAAGTTTGGCCCTTGATCACCGAGAAAGGTTTTTTGTTTATTTGCTTAGTTTCATTTTGTTTTGGACTCAGGGAACATTCAGAGGTTATTGAGTTTGGTTCAACCAAATCAAATGCAAAGCCACCATGTCCTGATCCCTCCTCCCTACCCCCACTGCACGTCAGCATTCTGACGTTGGAGAATTAGGCAAGTGGTAAAGGTGTCTGCTTCAGATATTATTTGGTTATTTAAAGGGACATGATGTTGATGGCTTTTTTTGTTTGGGAGGGAAAAAGAGGGAGCAGGTCATAGGCCCCCAACATTTAAATGTCTATCCTAAAACCTCATGCAAACCCTTTTTTGTCCAAATGATTTACTATTGAGAGAAATGCAAAGTCATCATCTTCAGGGCATCTGCAAATTGTTTTCAGCCTGAAGAAGGAACAAAACATAGCTGGGAGGGAAAGCAGAAGAGGGAACACAAAGATTCTCCTGACCCTGCGTCACGGCAGATTGACCCTTTACTTACCTGAAGGCAGCACTGTGAGCACCATAGGCTGGGACTCATCGGATGCTTGGTTGACCCACTTGCTTGGGTTGCCATGCAGCTGCCACTCTGTCACCCTGCACCAGTACATGCCAGCATCCTCCATCTCCACCTGACGAAGCTTCAGAACAAAGTCTGTAGGGGATGAATGGTAACAGTGCAGGCGCCTGCTGAGCCCCTCTTCACCGTACTCCAGCAAGCCATCATGTTGTAGGTGCACCAACATTTTGCTTCCAGAATTTTCTCTGTTCCAGTACCATATCACAGAGAAAAGGGAGGCTGATCTGCCAGAACTCTCCAGCCTGCAGCAGAAGTCCACCTCTCTGTGCTCAGTAGCATTTTCTGTCCAGTACACTTTGGAGACATGTACCTTACTTCCTAGGAAGTAAAATGGTTCCCTCCTCCCTACCCCCACTGCACGTCAGCATTCTGACGTTGGAGAATTAGGCAAGTGGTAAAGGTGTCTGCTTCAGATATTATTTGGTTATTTAAAGGGACATGATGTTGATGGCTTTTTTTGTTTGGGAGGGAAAAAGAGGGAGCAGGTCATAGGCCCCCAACATTTAAATGTCTATCCTAAAACCTCATGCAAACCCTTTTTTGTCCAAATGATTTACTATTGAGAGAAATGCAAAGTCATCATCTTCAGGGCATCTGCAAATTGTTTTCAGCCTGAAGAAGGAACAAAACATAGCTGGGAGGGAAAGCAGAAGAGGGAACACAAAGATTCTCCTGACCCTGCGTCACGGCAGATTGACCCTTTACTTACCTGAAGGCAGCACTGTGAGCACCATAGGCTGGGACTCATCGGATGCTTGGTTGACCCACTTGCTTGGGTTGCCATGCAGCTGCCACTCTGTCACCCTGCACCAGTACATGCCAGCATCCTCCATCTCCACCTGACGAAGCTTCAGAACAAAGTCTGTAGGGGATGAATGGTAACAGTGCAGGCGCCTGCTGAGCCCCTCTTCACCGTACTCCAGCAAGCCATCATGTTGTAGGTGCACCAACATTTTGCTTCCAGAATTTTCTCTGTTCCAGTACCATATCACAGAGAAAAGGGAGGCTGATCTGCCAGAACTCTCCAGCCTGCAGCAGAAGTCCACCTCTCTGTGCTCAGTAGCATTTTCTGTCCAGTACACTTTGGAGACATGTACCTTACTTCCTAGGAAGTAAAATGGCAGTAAGTTAGAGAAGAACCCAGGCTTTTCACCTGGACATCTCCTCTGAAAAATCTAATTCTCGTTGAGAAGATGCTATGTGATAATCTTTAGACAACAGATCTTTCATACATCCCTTCCTTAACCCTATCTTGCCTGGTAGACCTGCCACTGAGAACCAGCCAGCTTCAATGGGTGCTGTGCCCTGCTGCTTTTACTACTCCCTGGCCAACCTTCTCTTCTACTTTTCAGTAGACCATTCAAAACTTCCAGCCCTCCTCTCAAATCGTGTGTTTCACTACTACCCCTCATTCTTAGGAAAGTACCCTCCTCCCACACAGCCAGATATGATCTCAGCTATAAATGCAGGAAAAGAGGAGGCTGTTTGAGAGACTGAATATTTTTATACGCTCAATGAGATATTAAAATTATTGGGTTAGACTAAGTTTTAAACAGCTTTTGACATGTACTTATAAATTTTTTTCTCTGGTAACCAGCAGGTAAGGACTTGAAACATAGGCCAGGTAGTTACAAAATAAAGAAATTAGAGTGTGCACTAAAATTTCAGCTCTATGACAAATACATTTACTAATCTATCTTTAAAAGAAGAGCTTCATCTGATCCTGGATTCTTTTGTTGTAGCTGTTACCATCTTTACTCTCTTCTTCCCTTCATGGAAAAGTATGTGAAATATTAGTTGATATATACTGTCTCTGCTTCCTCACCTAAATGACTCCCAACCTTATTGCAATTAGCCTTCCAATCCCATCACTATACCCCGGCCAAGGTCCCAGTAAGGATCTGATTTCCCAGGCTCAAGAGAACCTCTAGTCTTCTTTGTCTTCTCTGTGATTTTTGCCACTGAAGTCCATTCTTCTTCTTGAAATCCTCTCCTCTTTTGATTTCAGAGAATGTCCCTCCTACAATTTTGACCAGTTCTCAATAGCTTTCCCTGAAGCCTCCTCCTTAACTCACTACCTTCACCAGGGTGCCCAGTTGGCTGCCCCCAAGGCTGGCCAAACCCGGCCCATGGATATATTCTCTTGACACCCTTGGTATTTTTAAAGAATTTGAATTGTGAATGTTCTCAAATTGAGCAGTATCACCAAAAAAGAGTTTAGGCATTTCTGGATATACTAAAAGATCAGACAACATTTAGCCCCCAGTTCTGAATGAGAAGGGCTGGCTTGAGCTAGGAAGTGGCTGCCTCCTTACAGGGGTGTGCACACACTATCAAGATTTGGCTTGGACAACCAGGAGAAAGGGATGCCAGCCACCCAGATGGAGAACACAGTACTCATAAGGCTCACAGGATGGCAGAGATGATAAATGCAATGTGGGACATGCTAAGTGTAGGATTTCTGGGGCATCCAAGTAGAAATGTACAACAGGCCATTGGGTAGAATGTCCTAGAGCTCAGGAGATCAGGGCTAAGCATAAATACTTAGAACTATTTCATTGAAGGTGGTTAGTTGAAATCAAGTCAGTGTTTAAGAAGTTCGGAAGAGACCAGAGAAGAAAAGGAAAATGGGTCCCAGGATCTAGCCCTGAGGAACAGTCACGTTTAGCAGGGAGAGGATGAAGGGCCAGAAGAGAAAGCTAGAGCGGCAGGAAGAGGTCTCTGCATCAGGCCACTGTTTGGCCCCTGTTGTCCCCAACAGACTGAGCTCCTTAAGGCAAGAGCTGTGCTTTATTTATCTTAGTATTCCTAATTGTCTAATACATAGTAATGCTGATTATAAGCTTACTTTTTGTGTTACAATGAAAATAGAATTTTGAGCACCAAGCTAGATTAACTTATTTGCATCATGCTGTTGGATATTGGCCAGTCCCCTAACCTTAGCTGTGACATTCATTTAATTTTAATCAACAGTAGAGGTGATCTAACTAATGCTGAGAGATCTAATCGCCCTGCCCACATTTAGACCGCAGCACTCTTAGGCCAGTGCAAATGGATGGAACCTCTATTACATTTTTAAAGATCTCTTGAGGAAGAGGAGATTCCCTTAGTAAGCCATTCTGACAGTTAACTACTCTTATTTGCCTTATGTTTAGGCAGCCAAATGTTGAAAAGCAATTTCTCCACACATCCCTATAGAGTTGCACAGTTTCTGTTCACAGTGGGAGAAATATGCTTCGTATTACTCTTTCTCTGCCAAATTACAGTAGAGCCCCACTGGAGTGACACAGCTTGTTATTATAGAGATCTAGAGATATAGTACCCTGGATAGCTGCACAGACCAAGCGCCAGGCTGATAAGAAAACCAATCAAAGGGATCTTGTTCTCATCCTAGCTCTTCAAAATCTCAGATTGATCCACCTTATGTGAACCGCACCTCCTCTGGTGGGCTACCAGGCCCTGTAGCCACTGTATAGGTGGACACTGTTCCTATGACTCTAGTCTTATTTTTACTTTCACATAATCATTCCATGGAACCACCACCCAAGAGAAGATGACAATCCTACAGGAAGATGTGTGAGAATACACTCCAAAGGTTTACCTGTCGGCCTGAGTTTCAATTCTGTGACGCCTGACATCTTTTCTCCAAGCTTGTGCCAAGTGCCATTGGTAGATGAGAGCCATTCCTCTACGGCGCAGCAATATTTGCCCTGATCGCTGTCTTCCATATTCAGAATGTGTAGCTGAAACAAGTCTTGGGAAACTTTCTCGGTGTGGAATTTTTGTTTTCTTTGTGGAGTGTGAAATTCATCCCCATATTTTACAACATTGGTTTGGTCTATTTCCAGGATCCTCAGCCAGGATGCATTAGTGGAAATAGGAGAGAAGTACCAAATAATGGATAACTGAAGGTTTCCAGTGGACTGGCACAAGATACTACATTCTATGTCAGTGTTGGAGTTGATGGAGAGTTCTTGGACTTGACGGCTTGAATTCACTTTTAGCTTGCTCTCTAAATTAAAAGAATGGTAACATTTACTTTTGTTACTTTGCTAGAACCTGGAATTTTAAGGTAGAAGGGACATTGGCAGTCAATGAGGGCAAGGCCTCCTACAGCCATCAAATGTGTGACTCTACCTTTGGCGGCCCCACTACCTGCCCATTCACCCTCTGAACATCTCTCTACCTAACAAAGTAGCTCATTCCATATTTGGACAGCTCTGCCACCACAGAATTCTTTCCGACATCAAGTTGAATTTTACCTCTCCCTACTGCCATCCACTGGTTCTGATTCTACCCTTGCCAGAGGAGTTGAATCTCTTTCACATGATAATGCTTCAGTATTTTAGCATAGACATTGTCTCTTCTATAGCATTTCATAAATCCAACTGTGAGAAAGTGGCCCTGTTAATGCTTTGTCTATGTGTTTCACTGTCTGGGGTACACTTGGATTCACAATTTGCCAAAGTCTAGTTGATCTGCCTTCAAACATGGGTAAACAAAAGGAAGTTGTATGTGGGCTATTAAAATTGTACATCTCTTTGTGAGAGTATCATAGAGATATGGAGTCGACTACCCTTTAACCCCAGCAGCTGTCTACTTTGCCAGTTCCTAATCTTATTCTAACTTCTTGCTCATATCACCAATTCTACTTTTGTGACTGCATACTGATGTTGCCAGTAGGTTCCCTTACTCTTCCTTCAACAAACATTTATTAAGTACATACTATGCTATGTACTGGACCAGTCTACACTCTGTGGATACCTGCCCTCAGTGGTTTAACAGTCTGGAGGGAGAAACTAGTATAGGGACAGGCATAGAGATTATAGGATTGTGCCACCCAAGCAGGGCAGAGATATGCAGAAGTGGCTATCAGAATACAAAGCAGGGCCATCTACCCAAACATGGGAGTGAGGGAGGCTTATTGGAGGAGATTTCACTAAGTCTTCAGGGTTAACAAGAATTAGTCTGATGAACAAGAGGCTAAAGAATTCCACACAAAAGAAGCAACTTGAACAAAGAGTTTAAAAGTGAGAAAGGGGGATTAAACAAGATGGCGGTGTGAGAAGTAAGGCAGAAACCTCCTCCCAAAACCATCTATAACACAAAAATACAGCAAATACAACTAATCTTGAAAGAGCAACCAGAAAGAAGACTGCAAAAGATGGCCTGCATCTGGAGAAAAAAAGACCTTACAGAAAAGGGTAAAGTAGCAAAGCCTCACTATGGCAGGAACTAAGCCCTCCCCCAACCCCAGCTCACTGGTGGAAGAGAAATGGAGAGGAGAAGCCTAGGACTGCTAAATACCCACTGCTGGAGATCTGCTCCAGGAACACAGACCCACATTACATGGTGCTCTGGAGATTAGAGGGGTTGGAAAGCAAACACAGGTGGAACACTCGAGAGACTTAGATTCCAGCCACTTGTGGAGAACAGGTATCCACAACCAACCACTCTGGGACAAAAGAAAGGTGGGCACTTTAAAAGACACCCCAACAGTGAGAGGGCTGCTAAAGGGCAAGGATAACACAGAGCTTGCTGCTCAGGAGGACAGGTGGATGAAATCATCCTGGCACACTCAGCCCAGCAGGTTGGGAAGTTTCAGAAGCTTCATGCACTCCATCCCCCTGGCTGGCAACACAGTGCCAAGGCCACCCACTGTGATACACAACCTGCCACTCCTTCCTCTGGGCCAGCACAGGTTCACAAAGCTGCTGCCCCTGCCATCATGCCCGGCCAGAGGACAGACCTACCTACAGCAGGTACAGGGGCAGAGCAGAGATGTTCCTCCTTGCATGCCTGGACTTCTCGCCCTGGCAGTGGAGGCAGGCATTGCAACTGGGAAGCAGGAAAGTGCTCTTTTCTCCCAGCAGGCACTGGGGCCATGCACCTGCAACCCCTGCCATCGTTCCAGGGGCTGGGCAGCTCCACAGAGTAGAGCTTCTGGGCACTAGAGGATGCCACCAGCACAAAGTTATTATTCCACAGTAATCATTAGTAATATGAAATGGCAAAAGAAACTGGTAGAAACCAAAATCCCTCAAAGAACAGAAAGAGGGCTAAGTGAAACTAAAAAACCAATCTTCCTGATAAATATTTTAAAATAAAAATCATAAACATGCTGGCAGAGCTACAGAAAAATATTCAAGACTTCAGGGAGGACTTCAAGAAAGAGACATAAATTTTGAAAAATACAGTATCTGAAATGAAACCTAAAATGGATGGAGTTAAAAGCAGATTAGATGTAGTAGAAGAGATAGAAAGTGGAATATATATTAGAGAAGAGGAATACAAAGAAGCTGAGGTACACAGAGAAAAAAGGATCTCTAGGAATGAAAGAATATTGAGAGAACTGTGTGACCAATCCAAATGGAACAATATTCACATTATAGGCATACCAGAGGAAGAAGAGAGAGAAAAAGGGATAGAAAGTATGCTTGAGGAGGTAATTGGGGAAGGAGATAGTCTCTCAGGCCATGGAGATGCACAGATCTCCCAACACAAGGGACCCAAGGAAGACAACACCAAGACATATAGTAATTAAAATGGCAAAGGTCAAGGACAAGGACAGAGTATTAAAAGCAGCCAGAGAGAGAAATAAGATCACATACAAAGGAAAACCCATCAGGCTATCATCAGACTTCTCAGCAGAAACCTTACAGGCCAGGAGGGAGTGGCATGATATATTTAATGCAATGAAACAAAAGGGCCTTGAACCAAGAATACTCTACCCAGCATGATTATCATTTAAATTTGGAGGAGGGATTAAACAATTTCCAGATAAGCAAAAGCTGAGATAATTTACCTCCCACAAACCATCTCTGTAGTGCATTTTGGAAGGACTGCTATAGATGGAAGTGCTAAGGCTAAATATTTGTCACCAGAGAAATAAAACCAAAGTAAATGAAGTAGATCAATTAATTATTAACCAAATGCAAAATTAAATCAACTACACACAAAGTCAGTCAAGGGATACACAAAGAGTACAGAATATGATACCTAATATATAAAGTGTGGAGGAGAATGAAAAAGGTTGTGTTTGAAATAGCATAACAAGTGAGTTAAGTTAGACTGATAGTAAAGAAGCTGCCCTTGAACCTAGTAACCATGAATCTAAAGTTTACAATGGCAATAAGTACATTACCTATCAATAATCACCCTAAATGTAAATGGTCTGAATGCACTAATCCAAAGACACAGTTACAGAATGGATAAAAAAGCAAGACCCATCTATATGCTGCCTACAAGAGACTCACTTCAAACCCAAACACATACACAGACTCAAAGTGAAGGGATAGAAAAAGATATTTCATGCAAACAATAGGGAAAGAAAAAGCAGGTGTTGCAGTACTTATATCAGACAAAATAGACTTCAGAACAAAGAAAGTAACAAGAGACGAAGAAGAACACTACAAAATGATAAGGGAGTCAATCCAACAAGAGGATATAACCATTATAAGAATCTATGCACCCATCATAGGAGTACCTAAATATGTGCAATACTAAAAGAATTAATGGGGGAAGTAGAGTGCAATGCATTTATTTTAAGAGACTTCAACACACCACTCACTCCAAGGGACAGATTAACCAGACAGAAAATAAGTAAGGAGACAGAGGCATTGAACAACACATTAGTACAGATGGACCTGACATCTACAGAACTCTCCACCCAAAAGCAGCAGGATACACATTCTTCTCAAGTGCACATGGAACATTTTCAAGAATAGATTACATACTAGGCCACAAAAAGAGCCTCAGTAAATTCAGAAGGATTGAAATTGTACCAAGGAGCTTCTCAGATCACAAAGGTATGAAACTAGAAATAAATTATGCAAAGAAAACAAAAAAGCCCACAAACACATGGAGGCTTAACAACATGCTCCTAAATAACCAATGGATCAATGACCAAATTAAAACAGAGATCAAGCAATATATGGACACAAATGAAAACAATTAAACACCCCAAAATCTGTGAGATGCAGCGAAGGCAGTTCTAAGAGAAAAATATATAGCAATACGGCTTACCTCAAGAAAGAAGAACAATCCCAAATGAACAGTCTAAACTCACAATTAATGAAACTAGGAAAAGAAGAACAAATGAGGCCCAAAGTTAGTAGATGGAGGGGAATAATAAAGATAAGAGCAAAAATAAATAAAATTGAGAAGCAAAAAACAATAGAAAGAATCAATGAAACCAGGAGCTGGTTCTTCAAGAAAATAAACAAAATAGATAAACCCCTAGCCAGACTTATCAAGAAAAAAAGAAAGTCTACACATATAAAGAAAATCAGAAATGAGACAGGAAAAATCACTACAGACACCACAGAAATACAAAGAATTATTAGAGAATACTATGAAAAATTACATGCCAACAAACTGGATAACCTAGAATAAATGGATAACTTTCTGGAAAAATACAACCTTCCAAGACTGGCTCAGGAATAAACAGAAAATCTGAACAGACAATCACCAGCAATGAAATTGAATTGGTAATCAAAAAACTACTTAAGAACAAAATCCCTGGACCAGATGGCTTCACCATTGAATTTTATCAAACATTTAAGGAAGACCTAATACCCATCCTCCTTAAAGTTTTCCAAAGAGCAGAAGAAGAGACAATACTTCCAAACTCAACCTATGAGACCAGCATCACTCTAATATGCAAACCAGGCAAAGACACCACAAAAAAAGAAAATTACAGATCAATATCCCTGATGAACACTGATGTAAAAATACTCAACAAAATATTAGCAAACCAAATTTTAAAAATACATCAAAAAGATCATTCATCATGACCAAGTGAGATTTATTCCAGAGAAGGAAGGATGGTACAATATTTGAAAATCCATCAACATTATACATATCATCAAAAAGGACAAAAATCACTTTATCATCTCAGCAGATGCTGAAAAAGCATTAGACAAAATTCAACATCCATTCATGATAAAAACTCTCAACAAAATGGGTACAGAGGACAAGTACCTCAACATAATAAAAGCCATATATGACAAACCCACAGCAAACATCATACTTAAGAATGAAAAGTTTAAAGCTTTTCCTCAAAGACTGGGAATAAGACAAGGATGCCCACTCTCCCCACTTTTATTCAACATAGTATTGGAGATCCTAGCCACAGTAATCAGACAACACAAATAAATAAAAGGTATCCAGATTGGTAAAGAAGAAGTTAAATTGTCACTGTTTGCAGCTGACATGATGTTGTACATAAAAACACCTAAAGAATCCATTCCAAAACTACTAGAACTAATAACTGAATTCAGTAGAGTTGCAGGATACAAAATTAATATACAGAAATCTGTTGCATTCCTATATACTAACAATGAACTAACAAAAAGAGAAATTGGGAAAACAATTCCATTTACAATTGCATCAGAAAAAGTAAAATACCTGGGAATAAACCTAACCAAGGAAGTGATTGACCTTATACCCTGAAAATCACAAGATGCTCATGAGAGAAATTAAAAAGATAGCAATAAATGGAAATACATACTGTGCTAATGGATAGGAATAAATATTGTCAAAAAGGCCATCCTGCCTAAAGAAATCTAAAGATTCAATGCAATCCCTATCAAAATACCAACAGCATTCTTCAACAAACTAGAACAAATAGTTCTAAAATTCATATGGAAGCACAAAAGACCCCAAATAGTCAAAGCAATCCCGAGAAGGATAAATAAAGCTGGGGGATTCGGATCCCCAACTTCAAGCTACGAAGCCACAGCAATCAAGACAATTTGGTACTGGCATAAGAGCAGACCCATAGACCAATGCAACAGAATAGAGAGCCCTGATATATACCCAAACATATATGGCCAATTAATATGTGATAAAAGAGCCATGGACATACAATGGGGAAATGACAGCCTCTTCAACAACAGATGTTGGCAAAATTGGACAGCTATATGTAAAAGAATGAAACTGGAGTACTGTCTAACTCCATACAAAAAAGTAAACTTAAAATGGATTAAAGACCTGAATGTAAGTCATTAAACCATAAAACTCTTAGAAGACAACATAGGTAAAAATCTTTTGAATATAAACATGAGCAACTTTTTCCTGAACACATCTCCTCAGACAAGGGAAACAAAAGCAAAAATGAATAAATGGGACCACATCAAGCAAAAAAGCTTCTGTACAGCAAAGGACACCATCAGCAGAACAAAAAGGCATCCTACAGTATGGGAGGATATATTTGTAAATGACATATCTGACAAGGGGTTAACATCCAAAATATATTAAGAACTCACATTCCTCAACACCAAAAAAGCAAATAACCCTATTAAAAATGGGTAGAGGATATGAACAGATAATTCTCCAAAGAAGAAATTCAGATGGCCAACAGAGAACACATGAAAAGATGTTCCACATTGCTAATCATCAGGGAAATGCAAATTAAAACCACAATGAGATATCACCTCACACTGGTTAGGATGGCCAACATAGAAAAGACTAAGAACAACAAATGCTTGTGAGGATGCAGAGAAAGCGGAACCCTCCTACACTGCTGGTGGGAATGTAAGCTAGTCCAACCATTGTGGAAAGCAATATGGAGTTTCCTCAGAAAACTAAAAATAGAAATACCATTTATCCCAGGAATTCTACTCCTAGGAATTTACCCAAAGAAAACAAGATCCCAGATTCAAAAAGACATATGCACCCCTATGTTTATTACAGAACTATTTACAATAGCCAAGATTTGGAAGCAACCTAAGTATCCACCAGTAGCTGAATGGATAAAGAATATGTGGTACATATATGTAATGGAATATTATTCAGCCATAAGAAGAAAACAAATCCTACCATTTGCAACAACATGGACAGAGCTACAGGTTATTATGCTCAGTGAAATAAGCCAGGTGGAGAAAGACAAGTATCAAATGATGTCCCTTATTTGTGGAGGATAACAACGAAGCACAATTGAAGGAACAAAACAGCAGCAGACCAAGAAAGGACTAGTGGCTACCAAAGGGATGGGGGTAGGAGGGCTGGTGGGGAGGGTGGGAAAAGGGGATTAAAGGGCATTATGATTATAACACATAATGTAGGGGGGTCATGGGATAGGCAGTATAGCACAGAGAAGACAAGTAGTGACTCTACAGCATCCTACTATACTGATGGACAGTGACTGCAAGGGAGTGTGGAGGGGCAACTTGATAATGTTGCTCATGTGAAATCTTTATAAAATTATATATCAATGATACCTTAATACAAATAAATAAATAAATAAACCAACAAACAAATTAATAAATAAAAAAGAGTCAAGTTAAATTTTACAACCAAAAAAAAAAGTGAGAGAGAATATTGAATATTGAGGAACTGCAAGGAGTTCAGTGTGGCTGGAGCTCAAATTCAAGATATAAATTAGGAGGAGATGATGCTGGAAAGACATAAAGGTACTGAATCATAAAGGACCTTGTACACTGTGCTATGGGAGGATAGACATATGGTGGACATGGAGGAGATATGGATGATACAGCTTCCTCACTTGGGTCCCTGGTGGATGATGGGGACATAGAGGACAATGTAGGACATAGAGGACATAGGGACAATAATGGTGCACTGATGTTTTGACATTATGAGTGTAGACATGTCTTGTGGGCAGTTGAATAGATGATCCTGGAGATCAGAAGAGAAGTCTTTCAGGATAATGGATTTGGGAGTTGTCAGTATATAGGTTGAACCCATGGGTAGGATTAAGCTCACTTTCAGAGACTATATAAATGAGAAGGCAGGAAGGTAAGAATGAAACCTAAAGGAATGCATGGGTGGAGGAGGATTCTGCAAAGGAGAGTGAGATGGAACAGTCAGAGTGTTAGGAAGGAAACCAAGAAAATCTTGTGTCATGAAGCCAAGAAAAAAAGGAGTTTCAAGAAGAAAAGATTAGGCCAATAATTTCAAATACCACAGAAAAGATAAGTAAATTAAGGTATGAGTTAATGAACAAGGAGATCATTACTATTACCAAAACTGTTGCTCAGCACCTGAGCTAGTAATGAGAGCTGCCATGTTTGGGCATCTGCACTGTTCTAGACACATCATCTATGTCACCACCCTTAAACTGCATCAGCAGTTTGCAGAAGGGGCCTGGACAGACTGTCTTGTCCAAGGCTGTACTGCTCTCCAGGGTTCATCAGACCTAAATGACTCCAAAGGCTCTTGAAGATCCATGACACGGCAGAACTTTGTCCAGGTTGTGTGGCACTCCTCACCTCTACGCTCTATTACCAATTGGCAAAATAAATTATATTTGACTATAATCACAAATTCCCTTATACAATAACACATTAAAATATGATGATAAATGTAATCTAATGGAATTCACATTTTCCATACCACTATTCATATTCCAAACATTCAATGACTGGTAAGGCGCAGGCAGTGATCGATCTGAAAGAATGCCTCATCACTGCAGTTGGTCCCAGAGACCCCGTTGTGCCATGTGGTGCCCTTTGGTTGCTAGGTGGTGGGGACTTATGGGAAGATGGGGACAGGGTATAGAGTAAGGGTTGTTATTAGTCAGTGTGGAAGTATTTCAATATTTTAACAACCAGTATGGCCATCCTGTGCATAGTAACTTATATTAATAACTTAAGCCTGGATATCACTTGTATATATGCTTGTTTACATAGTACAAACATTGGAAGAAGGTATTTTATGCTTTAATTCTGTATGTTACCCAAACTGGGAGGAATCAAAAAAAAAAAGCTGGGATTAATTTCAAGTGGTGCCTACCTGGTAAAGTGATGTTTATCCTGAGAGGGTGAGAGATGGCAAGAGCCCGCACCGGGCCATGTGTGCACAGGGACCTTCTGTCATAAACTTCAACTTTACACTGGTAAAGTCCCGCTTCTTCCTCAGTGGCATCATGGATTAGGAGGTAAGAATGAAATGAAGACTGTGAAACCTTCGTCTTCTTTTGGAACTGGGATAGCAAATCCCCCCATTCAATGGTGCCATTATAGGTGATTCGAATAAGCCGATGGAAGACTTGCGATCCGGCTGGCTTGAACTGCCATGTCACAGTGAGTGGAACCCTGAGGTCAGAGAAGCCAGCCCTGACAAGGCAAGACAGGTCAAAGGTGTTGGTTAATTTCACTTGTGGTTGACGGCTCATCAGATGAACTTGCAAACTTGACTCTGTATGCAGAAATGCAGAACACAATTCTATTATGTTTATTAAATCAAAATACAGTACTTCCAAGTTTTCCTAGTCACCATCTCTTCCCATTGAACTATGCATTCAAACACAGGGAGTATTAAATATTTTGGGGTAGATGTTGATTCACAGTACAGTCTGTTCTGAATTCTGACCTCAATTTTCTAAAGTTGACCCTCTTCTAAGAGTGTTCTCAGCAGTGACAACAAACGAGCAGTGTTTCTCCAGTCTGCTGCTTAGACAGCTGCTACTGAGTAGGCAGAGCACTCCGCAGCCCCAGGGGCTGGCCCCCTTTCCTCACCCCCATTCCTGGGCTCAGTATCAGTCTTTCGCACATGCTAGAAGAGACTGTCCCAGGGCTGCAGCTGTTGACAGCCTGAGTGTTTGGAACTGAGCTTCACTCAGCATATCTCTTCTCTAAATCTACTTCAGTTCCATAGGATTTTGTTTTTAGCCTTGACAACTAACTTACAAGTTGCACCCTAAAGACGATCTTTATAAAGCCAAGTAAACTTTAGAGACTGGTTGACAGACATGGTAGCCAGAGACTATGCTCTGTGTACACATACCGTAACTAGGGGATTCAGGAGTACGCCCTCCAGTTCTACCACATTCCACTGCACAAGGCAGGTACTGATGATATGCAAGTTCAGAAAAGGATTTCTTTGACACTTACCCAGAGATTTTACAGTGACCGACATCTTCTGAGTCCAGCTCAGATCTGTGGCCTGGTTCCGGGTCCCCTCAGACACCCTGCACTCATAGGTGCCACTGTCTGCAATGGTGGCAGAGAAGATCTCCAGCTGGAAGGTGGCCCAGTCCATTTTCTCCAGCCTTGCGTTGCCATGGTCACTGAGCTCCCCATAGGAAGCACCGAGCTGCACTGTGCCATCCGCCTTCATACCAGCCACAAACTCTGGCTGGGTCTGGCCATGGGGGATGTGCCACCAATTCACAGACAAAAGACTTTCATCTCCATCTGCCTGGCAGAGAAGGGTTAAGGCCTCTCCTTCCCACACTGCCTGCTGCTTGTTCTTGGTGGACACGATCACACTTCTCACTATGGATTACAGATTTTAGAAGAAAAAGTATGTCAAGTAAATGAAAAATTTTCTAAAACAGTGAAGTCTCATTAATTAGGCCTTAGCTAATTTGTAAAAAATCAGATCAGGCTGTCTATTCCTAGCAAAAGATTTGCTATACTCTTAAATAGTGGAAACAAGACTTCAGAAAGAGTATCAGGAGACCTTATTTACACTTGTTATAATTTACCCTTAATTTTACTGATTTGTTAAAATGGCCCTCCCTTAAGAACATCTAGTTGAGAAAACATCTGGTAATATTTTTTTAAATTAAATAGGATGGGTGTCTGAGCCTAAAAGTAATGAAGTTGTGTTTATTTAAATTTTTAGTGTTTTGAAATTCAGTCTTTCACAGTTCAAAATGACCTTCCTCTCCCTACTTATCTTTCCTCAGTTGGTATCTGTTTTGAGTGGAAAAGTGCTGTTAATTAGATTTCAGTCCAAAATACTAGAGTAAAAACAATTACTTGGGGGGGGGGTAATACATATATATGTATGTATATATTTTTCTTTTTAAAATCATACATATATGTTATCAGTTGAAGGGAGAGGCTTCTTATACGTGAACTACATTGTAAAACTTTAAATGTCAATCTGGCTCCCAGATGGGAAATTCAAGATGTATAGAAATGCAGATATTCATTCAACAGACACTTTCTGTGACAGGCCCTGTCCTGGGAGCTTTGTGGGCAAGGCAAAGACCTGGACTCATGTTTAAGGCTAAGGTCCCTAGAGTCAGAATTATCTTGGGCATAGCTGACCTCTCTGGCCCTCAGTTTTCTTTCCTGTAAATAAGGGGACAGAAAAAGCACCCATCTTATTGCATTGTTGAGGGGACTAAATGAATGGCATATACATAGGGCTTAGCCTGGAAGGCAAAGGGAAAGCACCCAGTCATGGTTAGTGCTCAGCATTGGTATGTAATGATAGGCACTAGTGAAAGCAGAGGTAGTTCAAATCCAAAAGAAAAAAACAAAATAGAACTAGGATTAGAAATCTAAATAGGATCTAAATGAATTTGCAAACTGTTCTTCCCCATTGAGCAAGTTCAGACTTCTACTGCTTTATGTGTATATGTATATAAGTTACAAATGCAGAATGAAGGTTAATATCCACAAATAATATTTATTATTAAGTAAATAATTATATATATTATATGTGTATGTGTGTATATATATGTGTGTGTATATATATATATATATACACTTACCCAGAGATTTTACAGTGACCGACATCTTCTGAGTCCCCATATATATATATATATATATATACACACACACACACACATATCTGTATTAGAAGCATGATTATACTTAAGTTTTTTTCAAGTTAAACAGACCTATAACAAGTTTAGAAATTATGGTGGAAATTATTACTCATAATCTCACTATTCTATTAACATGATTAGTTTCATAATAGTTTCAACCATTATGATTTTTTTAAAATGAGGTTTACTCAGTTCATCGTAGTCATTACTGCCTCTTGGCAAGAAGTAATAAACTTACCAAGTGTGTGTAAGTCACCCACATATAGTGGTAGTGAGTATCCCTTGGCTATTTGAAATATTCATAGAATGATAAAACTCTGCTCACATTTCAAGTAATAGTTTGACTTTCAAAACCAAATGTTCAACAGGATCCTTAATAAATATGCTGATAAGTTGTTCTGCTTCTATTTATTAGGCCCACTTTGGACTGTAGCCTATATAAAGAACTATTTCTAGCTTCAGAAGACCACCCCACTGATAGGTTATGTGCTGTGCACCATGAAGCACACCTTTCAATCTTTTTGGCACAAATTCTCATGCACTGAGTTTAAGGAAGGTTTGCAGGTATGTTCCAGGGGAGACTGAGATGCATGAAGCAGAGATTAAGCTCTATGTAAATATGTAAACTTGCCTACATAGTTTTTACTGAATCCTAGAAAGTTAGACCAAACATTTAGTGTGAAAACTAACACCAACACACTCCCTGGCTTGCCACCCTAGGCCAAAGTTTGTGAATCTAATCAATCGTTCTGGACTTAGAATTTAATACCCAGCCCAGGGAATTCTAATATTATTTGTGGATTTGTCTGTTTTCTATCCACACATAAGGCACTACTTATTCAAGTACGTTGAAGGTCACCCAACATTTGTAAACCAAAAGAGAGCTGAGTGACCTTTCAGTGTCACGCCTGCTGATAGACCCATTTGGACAGGTGTCTTACCACATCACAGAAAAATGCAGGGAACAGAATTTGCCCACTATCATTTACCTCTTCATTTCTTATTCTGCGTCATGGTTTGATACAGCATTAAGATTTGGTATCATTCTTTGGGTCAGGTTAAGATATTAGAGGAATGACAGAAGGCATGTGAAGGATGTTGGAGGAGTCGGGGTATAAGCGGTTGCTTATTCCTCAAGAAAGCAAAGTGTCTTCCTCTCCTCTTAATCTACTCGCATTACACCCATGATGAAAGACAGAGGATGACTTCATTAATACAGATATTCTCGCTTGAAGAAAAATCCAGTGTACAAAAATTCGGACTAGCAGTAAATAGAATCAAAGCCTCTAAGACAGCAAGAAGGGACTTTAGGACCATCTAATTGTATGTCATTCTTCTACATTGGAAAAAGCTGAAATTTAGAGAAGAAGTGGCCTGCCCATGGTTACGGCCCACTTAGTAGCTCAGGAATAGGACTTAGGTCTTCAGGCAGTTTGACTGCTTCCCTTTACTCCCCTTCACCTCAAAGTGACCTGATTGAGACCCCACTCCATGCATGTAACCTGTACTCACAAAGACAGGGATCTGAAAGCAGCTAGGCTCATCTGGGCCTGACCTCATGTACCTGCCAGCCTCCTTAGATGCATGTGGTTGTCTGGTGACTGCTTCATCTGGAGCACCTGCCAGGAGCCCATCTGAGTTCTTGCCACCTCAGCCACTGCACATCTGTAAGCACCTTCCTCCTCTGGGCCTGCAGAGAAGATCTTGAGAGAGAAAGTCTTGGGGCTTAACTTTGAAACCTGGAGCCGTCCTTGACTTGCTCTCTCCTTGTAGTCTTCCTTCAGGTTCAGAACTCCATCAGCATCAATGTGGGCCATTTCAACACCGTTGAAGAACCAAATACCCTGCAGCTGTGGGGCCTGGTCACTGCCTACCACAAGGCAAAGCAGTTCTAAGGAATTCCCTTCAGTAAACGCACTCTCAGCTATGATGTTAACTTGAAAATCTTTCACTAGGAAACAAAAACAAGGCAGATATTTAGAGAGACCACTGTGCTTGTCCTCTTAGTACCAATGAGAGATGGTATCTTCTGTAAGGCTAGTACAGGCATTGAATTTCATGGTGGGAGACCAGTTTTGAGGAGTAGGTAAACCAGTGAAATACCTACAGTTGAAAACCTTTAAATCACCCAGGAAAATTAGCATACATGGTTTTCTAAATGCAGTCCTTTCAAGCAAGATACATGCATAGATGTATAAAGCATATGGTAATGTACCTTTTAAAAATAAGAAATATAAAATATTTTATACTATACTGGATTTCTGTAAATTGATTCTTGCTCTCTTTTTTTTTGGCTGAGATTATTCAGTGGAATTTTTCTAAGTTAAAAAGCACATGTGATGAGAGGCTTAAAGATGGTGGTGTGAGAGGTGAGACAGAGGCTTCCTCCAAAAACCACATAAATACAAAAATATGATTAATACAACTAATCCTGAAAGAGCAACAGGGAAGAGGGCTGCACCAGATTGCATACACCTGGAGAAAAGAATGAATACAACACCTGAGAAAGATTCAAATGAAATCGACCTCATAAATATTCCTGAAAGGGATTTCAAAATAAAAATCATTAACATGCTCATGGAGGTACAGAAAAATATTCAAGAACTCAGGAATGAATTCCAGTCAGAGATCCAATCGTTGAAGAGCACAATGGAGGGTATTAAAAGCAGATTGGAGATGGTGGAGGAGACGATAAATGAAATAGAAACTAAAGAAGAGGAATACAAAGAAGCTGAGGAACAGAGAGAAAAAAGGATCTCTAAGAATGAAAGAATATTGAGAGAACTGTGTGACCATTATAGGGGTACTAGAAGAAGAACAGAGAGAAAAAGGGATAGAAAGTGTCTTTGAGGAGGTAATTGCTGAAAACTTCCCCAATCTGGGGAAGGAGATAGTCTCTCAGGCCATGGAGATGCACAGATCTCCCAACACAAGGAACCCAAGGAAGAATACACCAAGACATACAGTAATTAAAATGGCAAAGGTCAAGGACAAGGACAGAGTATTAAAAGCAGCCAGAGAGAGAAATAAGATCACATACAAAGGAAAGCCCATCAGGCTATCATCAGACTTCTCAGCAGAAACCTTATAGGCCAGAAGGGAGTGGCATGCTGTATTTAATGCCATGAAGCAGAAGGGCCTCGAACCAAGATTATTTTATCTGGCAAGATTATCATTTAAATTTGAAGGAGGGACTAAACAATTTCCAGATAAGCAAAAGCTGAGAGAATTTGCCTCCCACAAACCATCTCTATAGAATATTTTGGAAGGACTGCTATAGAAGGAAGTGTTCCTAAGGTTTAAAAGCTGTCACCAGAGGTAATAAAACCACAGTAAAGAAAGTAGAACAGCTAATTACTAAGCAAATGCACAATTAAATTAACTATCCACAAAGTTAATCAAGGATAGACAAAGAGTACAGAATATGATACCTAATATAGAAAGAATGGAGGAGGAAGAAAAAGGAAGAAAAAGAAAGAAACTATAGATTGTGTTTGTAATAGCATATTAAGTGAGTTAAGTTAGACTCTTAGACAGTAAGGAAGTTAACCTTGAATTTTGGTAACCACGAATCTAAAGCCTGCAATGGCAATAAGTACATACCTATCAATAATCACCCTAAATGTAAATGGTATGAATGCATCAATCAAAAGATATAGAGTCACTAAATGGATAAAAAAAACAAGATCCAACTGTATGCTGCCGACAAGAGACTCACTTTAAACCCAAAGACATACACAGACTAAAAGTGAAGGGATGGAAAAAGATATTTCATGCAACTAATAGGGATAAAAAAGCAGGAGTGGTAGTACTGGTATCAGACAAAATTGACTTCAAAACAAAGAAAGTCACAAGAGATAAAGAAGGACATTATATAAGGATAATGGGGTCAATCCAACAAGAAGATATAACCATTATAAATATATATGCACCCAACACAGGAGCACCTACATATGTGAAACAAATACTAACAGAATTAAAAGGGGAAATAGAATGCAATGCATTCATTCTAGGAGACTTCAACACTCCACTCACTCTGAAGAACAGATCAACCAGACAGAAAATAAGTAAGGAGACAGAGACACTGAACAACACAATAGAGCAGATGGACCTAACAGACATCTACAGAACTCTACACCCAAAGCAGCAGAATACACATTAGATCATATACTAGATCATATACTAGGCCACAAAAAGAGCACCAGTAAATTAGAAAAGATTGAAATTATACCAACCAGTTTCTCAGACCACAAAGGTATGAAACTAGAAATAAATTATGCAAAGAAAACAAAAAATCCCACAAACACATGGAGGCTTCACAACATGCTCCTCAATAACCAATGGATCAATGACCAAATAAAAACAGAGATCAAGCAATATATGGAGATAGATGACAATAATTCAACACTGCAAAATCTGTGGTACGCAGCAAAGGCCATGCTAAGAGGAAAGTATATGGGACTCAGGAAAGAAGAACAATCCCATATGCACACTCTAAACTCACAATTAACGAAACTAGAAAAAGAAGAACTAATGAGGACCAAAATTGAGAAGAATGAAACAATAGAAAGAATCAATGAAAGCAAGAGCTGGTTCTTCGAGAAAATAAACAAAATAGATAAATCCCTAGTCAAACTTATCAAGAAAAAAAGAGAGTCTACTCACATAAACAGAATCAGAAATGAGAGAGGAAAAATCACTATGGACACCACAGAAGTACAAAGAATTATTAGAGAGTACTATGAAAAATTATATGCCAACAAACTGGATAACCTAGAAGAAATGGATAAATTTCTAGAAATTTCTTTAGAAAGGGATTTTTTGTTTTCTTTGCATAATTTATTTCTACTTTCATACCTTTGTGGTCTGAGAAACTGGTTGGTACAATTTCTAGAAAAATACAACCTCCCAGGGCTGACCCAGAAAGAAACAGAAAATCTGAGGAGACCAATTACCAGCAACAAAATTGAACTGGTAATCAAAAAACTACCTAAGAACAAAACTCCTGTACCAGATGACTTCACCACTGAATCTTATCAAACACTTAGTGAAGACCTAATACCAATCCTCCTTAAAGTTTTCCAAAGAGTAGAAGAAGAGGGAATATTTCCAAACTCAAACGCATTCTATGAAGCCACCATCACTCTAATACCAAAATTGGCAAAGACACTACAAAAAAGAAAATTACAGACTAATATCCCTGATGAACATAGATGCAAAAATACTGAACAAAATATTAGCAAACCAAATTCAAAAATACATCAAGAAGATCATTCTTCATGATCAAATGGGATTTATTCCAGGGATGCAAAGATGGGACAATATTCGAAAATCCATCAACATCATCCATCACATCAACAAAAAGGAGAAAAACCACATGATCATCTCCATAGATGCTGAAAAAGCAAAATTCAGCATCCATTCATGATAAAAACTCTCAACACTCAGTGAAATAAGCCAGTCGGAGAAAGACAAGTGCCAAATGATTTCCCTCATTTGTGGAGTATAACAACAAAGCAAAACTGAAGGCACAAAATAAACTCCAAGAAGGGACTAGCAGTTACCAAAGGGGAGGGGTGTGGGAGGGCAGGTGCGGAGGGAGGGAGAAGGGGATTGAGGGGTATTATGTTTAGTACACATGGTGTGGGGGATCACAGGGAAAACAGTGTAGCACAGAGAAGGCAATAGTGTATCTGTGGCATCTTACTACACTGATGGACAGTGACTGCATTGGGGTATGGGTGGGGACTTGATAATATGGGTAAATGTAATAATTGCATTGCATTTTCATGTGAAACCTTCATAAGAGTGTATATCAATAATACCTTAATAAAAAAACTCTCAACAAAATAGGTATAGAGGGCAAGTACCTCAACATAATAAAAGCCATATATGACAAACCCACAGTCAACATTATACTTACCAGCGAGAAGCTGAAAGCTTTTCCTTTAAGATCTGGAACAAGACAAGGATGCCCACTTTCCCCACTTCTATTCAACATAGTACTGGAGGTCCTAGCCACAGCAATCAGATAACACAAAGAAATAAAAGGCATCCAGATTGGCAAGGAAGAAGTTAAACTGTCCCTGTTTGCAGATGACATGATATTGTACATAAAGAACCCTAAAGAATCCATTACAAAACCACTAAATCTAATATCTGAATTCAGCAAAGTTGTGGGATACAAAATTAATACACAGAAATCTGTTGCATTCCCATACACTAACAATGAACTAGCAGAAAGAGAAATCAGGAAAATGATTCCATTCGCAGTTGCATCAAAAAGAATAAAACACCTAGGAATAAACCTAACCAAGGAAATGATAGACCTATACTCTGAAAACTACATGACACTCATGAGAGAAATTAAAGAAGATACCAATAAATGGAAACACATCCCGTGCTCATGGATAGGAAGATTTGATATTGTCAAAATGGCCATTGTGCCTAAAGCAATCTACAGATTCAATGCAATTCCTATCAAAATACCAACAGCATTCTTCAATGAACTAGAGCAAATTGTTTTAAAATTCATATAGAACCACAAAAGACCCCGAATAGCCAAAGCAATCCTGAGAAGGAAGAATAAAGCTGGGGGAATTATGCTTCCCAACTTCAAGCTCTACTACAAAGCCACAGTAATCAAGACAATTTGGTACTGGCACAAGAACAGACCCATAGACCAACGGAACAGACTAGAGAGCCCTGATATAAACACAACCATATATGGTCAATTAACATACAACAAAGGATTCATGGACACACATTGGAGAAATGACAGCCTCTTCAACAACTGGATAGCTACATGCAAGAAAATGAAACTGGATTATTGTTTAACTCCATACACAAAAGTAAACTCAAAATGGATCCAAGGCCTGAATGTAAGTGATGAAACTATAAAACTCTTAGAAGACAACATAGGCAAACATCTCCTGAATATAAGCATGAGCA